ACTTCCACTGTTTTTTGGTTTTATGGCTAGCCCATAATTTCAGACAAGCATGGTAACAGTTTGGTAAATGTACCACACTGTAGTACTAAAAAAGTACTATACAGTTCCCTAAACCTGCATCCTTTTAAAACTTGTTACAAACATTCAGAGTACAGATTGTATCACAAGCTTGTAATTTCAAGTTTTCTGCTTTATCCATATCATGAAGGATATAGTGGTTCACAGTAGGTGGGATGGCAAAACTTAAGCTGGTTTTTTTTCTAATTATTTTCTCATTCTAGACTGTTCTTTTCCTGTCTGATGCAGTATGGCATCTGCCTTGAGGCTGCAGCTAGTCTTTGCTGTTGCCTCATTTTAAGTTCCTGCCCAGAATAGTAATGTGGACCTCAGTGTGGAGAATTCCTCTCTGTAAAAGAATGAGTTAAAAGTTCTTTGAGGATGCCATCAACTAGAGGCTTCAAGGAGGACTATTCTTATGGTGTCTTGTCAATTACTAGATGGCAAAATGTGTTCTTGTCTGCATGAGATAAAGAAAAAAGAAAAGAACAAATGGGAATTGTCTGGGAGAGATTCATGTAGTGAAAGGACAGTGACATGCAAAGTGTGGTTTCCCTTTTTGATGAGGGAGGACAGTAACTCTGAGAGACTGGGGAGAAATAAAGTACTTCTTGAGAACAATCAAAGACCAGTTGATTAAAAGATAATAGGAAAAGCATTTTAAAAATTACATCACAGTAAAACAGTGTGTTTGCTGTAGGTTGACCCTGTCCAGCAGTCAGGCATCCATACAGCCGCTTGCTCAATCCCGTCCTTTACCACCACCACCATCAGTGGGATGGGAGCATAAGCAAAAAAACCCTGGGAGCAATATAACAGGTGAAGGAAGAGCAGTGGAAAAAAGAAAGAAAAAGCAGTCCCCAAACAACAGCCACTTTAGAAGCCATAATCCTGCCTTCATCCTCTACCCCAGTTTTCAATGCTGAGCAAGGTGTTACATGGTGTGCCGTAACACACCATGGACAGCTGCCCTGGCTGTGTCACCTCCCTGCTTCTTGCCCATCCCCAGCCTATCTGCCAGGGCAAGGGCAAAGTGGGAAAGATAGAAAGCCTTGAAATTGTGTGATAGAAAAGAAATAGCCTGAGCAGTTCAGCAGTAGCCAAATCACTGGTGTGTTACCAAAATGGTTTTAAGCAGGAATCTAAAATACAGCACCCTATCAGCTGCTCTGAAAAACCATCACAGCCAACCCAGAACAAAGATCAATTAAAAAAAATTAATGTATTATGGAAAAGAAGTTATGTCTTAACTGTTCAGCTGTGATAACTAAATATAGCTGCTAAACAGTGAGGTAACCAGTGCCCTAATAGATGCTGGACCAGTATTCTGATTAGCCTGTCAATTTGTGTTCCTGTGATCTGTTCATAAATCAAGGGATTTTTTTCCTCATCCTATTTAGCATTGCTCTTCTGGAGTTTTGATTTGACTTTTACCTTCTAGAATTTTACAGAAGTAGCAAAGTAACCTTTCAATACAAGATATTTCTGAATATAGCTTATTTGGAAAGCTGCTGTGCTACAGTTTTATTTCCTTGTGAAATATTATCCACCAATAGACATGTACAAGGTTAAAATTATTTAATTTTTGCTAATGAAATTTCTTTGCAGATTCAAAAAATAGAGGGAGTTATATCCTACAGAGATCCTCATTTTTGGTGTCACTCTGCAACTGTTGTGGCAGGCACAATACATGTGCAAGTGGTATCAGATGTGATGGAACAGAGAATTGTACAGCAGGTACAGTGCAAGGTCTTGAGACTCTTAATTCCTTAATTTCCTACTCAGCCTCTCCCTTTTGGTCACAGACTGAAGTTTCAGTCTGACATGTAGGATTTTTCTTGTAGCTCTCCATTTTTGTCTCAGAGCTGGTCTCTAATGCTGTACTGTCCCCTTTCCTGCTAGCTTGAAATTAGTCATGTAAAGAGTTATTTGCTAGAACATCTGCCAAAACACTGACTGACAGTGGCACTATATCTGCTCTGAGAAAAGAAGGGGAGGTGTTAAAACAGGCCTGCAAAACAGGGAATAAACAGTAGAGATACCTGTATGCTAATCGCATGTCTAAAACTGGATACCACTACGTATCTGCCATGGGTTTTTCTTTTCCTTAAAAAGATATATATTTCCTATGCACAACACTGAGAGTCTCCTCAGTGTTGTGCATAGGAAATATATATCTTTTTAAGGAAAAAGTGTGCAGAAGTTGCAAAGCCATACCCTCTAAAGCTAGTCTTTGCTTTCCAAAGAATTGAATTCTTCACAATGATACATGGGGGTTTATTTTCTGCATTGCAGAGCCAGTATACCGCAAGTTACTGTGAGATACATGTGAAGTGCAGTACTAATGTTAACTGTACCATTCTGTTCAGGTCACAGCAATTCTGAAAGATGCTGGTGTAAACAACTTAACTGTCCAAGTGGAGAAAGAAGCTTATTTTCAACACATGTCTGGACTCAGTACAGGATTTCAGGATGTCCTTGCAATGACGCAGCAGCTAGAATCCATGAAATACTACAAAGATGGTACTTACATCATGTGATACAAATTTGTATTTGCCTGTCATGGTTTGAGCCTGGCACAGAGCCAGTGCCCCCATGAAAATGCCCTCACCCTGGTGTCTGCTGTGAGATGAGACCAGGAATAAGCAAAACAGGCTCCAGCTTAAACATAAAGAACACTTTATTACCTAAACTACAGGAAAATAGGAGATGCCAAAGGAGATGTAAATGGTCAAGCTAATTGAATCCATATTTGTATTTTTGCGGGGAGATCTTGCACATACATGTACAGAAACAAATGTACTATATATTTGAATTTTTGTAAGTGTCCTATCTTTGTTAATTGGATTGAGATGCTTTTATAAAGGAAACAAGAAGGACTTGAGTACTTGCTGTAAATGTGAAAATAGTTGGAATCTTATATACTATACTTGGTGTTTATTAAACAGAAGTCTTGAAACTTGCAGATGAGCACAGATGTATTCCATGCTTTCTCCAAGTGTGGAACCATCAGTATTTTAATTTCTTGTTAGTAGTGGGAAATAGAAGTAGTTTATATTGGAATGCAAACAATCAACTGCGCACTACTTTTCTTTCTTTCAAAGATTGCTTGAAGACTCTTGGAATGAAAAAACCACTTTATTATGGGGATTAAAAAACATCAAGTTCTGTGTTTTGCATATTTTGTTAGATAATAGAAATATACAGTTTTTATATTATGTCTTAGCATACAAATATGATTTCTATACTTAATGCACCAGAGCAAATATATGTTACCATTTTACATTTGTATTGAACTGTTTTTTGTAGAAGAAATACACAGATTTAACAACGAGAAATAGGGAAGGGAAGAAAAATTAAAACACTATTTCCTGGGAAGACTCAAAATCATAACTCAAACCACTTAAAATAAAACTTCTTGTACTTTTTATACGAATAACTGCAAATGAAATATTTGAAGTCTAGAAGTAATAAATCAGTGAGCATCCTAGCACTCTGCTAAACTTCATCTTTTCAAGATACGTTATCCTGTACTTGACTCATTTTTTTAATAATACCATTACAGCTGCAGATGTACTGTAGCCAACCGTACCTCCGTGTATTACCTAGGGAAGAAGTTCAGGTTTAGAATGCTAAACTATGAAAGTAGTCTTGGACTTGACAAGTTGCTGAAATGAACAGTAAATTGAGACTTCTTGACTGGAAAGTGAAAGAGACTGCCTTTAAGAAAGAATTATGGATGTTGAGGACTTAATACTGCAAAGAAAACAAATCCATATGTTTAATGAAAACCTGTCAATGCAATAATAAAATACATCTTCAGAGGTAGTTGTGCTTACATCTGTTCACAAGCTTCTTGTGCCCCCCTCTTCTTGTCTGTAGCACATTAATATTTTCCCTGAAATTTAAGAAATTAATTCAGTGGTTAACAAGAACAAATACATCTTTCACCATCCCATGTATCATGGCAGTGTTGTTTTGTTGTACTGTTTTCTTGTTTCTGGTGTTCAGTCGTTCTTGACTACCATAATAAGAATAGACTTGATGTTAGTGAAATTGAAGGACAGAACAGAGTGATAAAGGAATTATTTAACTGGGAGAGATTTACCAGGAATGCTTTAGGGATGTCCTTGAGCCATTCTGCTTGTCTTGTTATCAGATTGTTACACAACTTCTATGGTTTGTTTTGTTACTCTTAAAGGAGTTCCTCCCGACCTATGTTAAAACACTGTCTGCAGTACAAGACTGACTTGGAAAACCATGGTCAGAAAACTTGTAGAAGTTGCATTGCACTTGTGCACAGTGACGAATATAAAGTGCACAAATTGCGATCCCTCATATCTTGGGACAGCGCTGGAGAGCCAGCCACCGCCTCAAAGCTGGATCCTGTTTTCTGCCCTTTTAACAGTGTTTTTCTTACCTTGTCTCCTCCAGAAGGAAGGGACCTGGGGGTACTCAAAGGGCAGATGTTCAGCCGCTGTCAACCAGTACCCCCAGGTCCCCTTCTGCCTGGGCACTGTCCAGCCACTCTGTACCCAGCCTGTAGCACTGCAGGGGATTGCTGTAGCCAAAATGTAAGACTCAGCACTTGGTCTTGTTAAACTTCATGTTTTTGGACTTGGCCCATTCATCCAGCCTGTCCAGGTCCCTTTGCAGAGCTCTCCTACCTTCCAACAGATTGACACATGCTCCCAGCTTCTGTTGCCTGTAGATTTACTGCTGGTGGACTCAATCCCCTCATCCAGATCATCAAGGAAGATATTAAACAGGACTGGTCCCAGCACAGACCCCTGAGGGACACCCTGGTGTGCAGCCACCAGCTGATGCAGCACCTTTCACCAGCACCCTCTGGGCCCGGCCATCCAGCCCGTTCCTAACCCAGCACAGAGTGCTCCTGTCCAAGCCGTGGGCTCCCAGCTTTTCCAGGAATGTGCTGTGGGAGACAGTGCCAAGGCCTTGCTGAAGTCCAGGTACACAACAGCCACAGCCTTTCCCACATCCACCAGGCAGGTCACTTGGTCACAAAAGGAGTTCAGGTTGGTGAAACACAACCTGTCCCCCCTAAACCTGTGCTGGCTGGGTCTGACACCCTGGCCATCCTGTGAGTGCTGTGTGCTGGCACTCGGTATAAACTGCTCCATAACCTTACCTGGTACAGTGGTCAGGCTAGCTGGCCTATAATTGCCAGGATCCTCCTTCCCACCCTTTTTATGAATGGCAGTCACACTGGCCAGCTTCCAGTCCTCTGGAACCTCACCAGTGAGCCAGAACTGTTGGCAAATGATGGAAAGTGCCTTCTCAAGCTCATCTGCTAGCCCCCTCATCACCTGGGATGGATCCCATCTAGTCCCATGGATTTGTGAGCACCTAGGTGGCTCAGCAGGTCTGCTTCCTTCTAGATTACACAGGGGCTGTTCTGTTCCTTGACACCATCTCCCAGCACAGGAGGACAGTTGTCCTGAGGACAACCTGTCTTTCAGTTGAAAACTGAGGCAAAAAAGGTGTTAAGCACCTCTGCCTTTTCCTCATCTTTAGTTACTAAATTCACTCCCTCATCTAATAGAGAATGGAGGTTGTCCTTGCTCTTCTTTTGCCATTATTGTATTTATAAAAATAATTTTTATTGTCCTTTACAGAAGTGGCCAGATTGAGTTCTAACTGGGCTTTTGCCTCTATAATTTTTTTCCTACATGACTTAGCAACTCCCTTAAGCATTTCTTTAGTTACCTGACCCTCCTTTCAAGAGTGATACACCCTCTTTTTTTTTCTTTTTTTTCAAAAAAAGAAAAGCTCCTTCAAAAGCTCCTTGCCTATCCAGGCCAGTCATTTTCCTCATCTCATCTTTTGGCACATAGGGACAGCCTGCTCCTGTGCCTTCAGGATTTCTGTTTTGAAGCACACCCATCCTTCCTGGACTCCTTTGTTTATAAGGGTTGCTTCCAAGGTACTATTTGAATAAGTCTCTTGAATAGGCCAAAGTCTGCCCTCTAGAAGTCCAGCATGGAAGTTTTACTGATGTCCCTCCTTGTTTCACCAAATACTGAAAACTCTATAATTTCATGATCGCTGTGCTCCAGATAGACTCCTACCATCACATCTCCCATCTGCCCTTCTCTGTTTGCAAACAGCAGATCTAGCATTGTCCCTACCCTGGTGGGCTCACTCACCAGCTGTGACAGGAAGTTGTCCTCCATGCACTCTAAGAACCTCCTAGACTGCCTCTTCTCTGCTATGTTGAGTTCCCAGCAGATGTCTAACAGGTTAAAGTCACCTACAAGAACAAGGGCTGCTGATCCTGAAACATACTCCAGCTGCTTGTAGAATAAGCTATCTACCTCTTCATCCTCTATAACAGACTCCCACCAGCCTGGTTGTTGTCCTTGATGTCAGCCTTGTTGGCTATCCCCTGATTCTTTGCCCTGGCCCCAGCCTGCCTTTTGACTCTCATTTCCTCACTGGCTCTTGTCACCTTTGTGTCTGCTCTGCCTCCCTGTGTCCCTGCCTAAGCCACCTGCATCCAACCTTGCTGGCCTCTGAGCCAGCCCACTGCTGTGATCCTCACTGCTGTGATCCTCACTGAGACCCTCTCCAGGCTTCTGGGCCCGAGTGCCCCCTCACCTTGAGCCCAGTCGCCCGTGAAGCAGCATGCACACCCCTCACCTCGTGGATGCACTCCCTGACCTCCAGTGGCATCTCACTCACTCACTCACTCACTCACTCACTCACTCACTCACTCACTGTCTTTCCTACCCCCCATTCCTTTCCCATTTTTCTTACTCTTGCTCTGTCTTGTCTAACCCTCTTTAGTAGAGTAACTCCCTTACATTTTGTTTTTCATTAGGAATAAACAGTTCTTAGATGCAATGTTTGTCTCATTTGACTTAACTTTATTCCTGACCATTTAATTTTAAAATAACTCCTTGCAGTTTCCCACAGTGAAACATGACACTGACATTGCAGGTGACTGCTAGGCTGCCATTGAAAGGGGCAGTCCTAGACTATGAGCAGCCAAATAGAACACAGAAGTGTTCTGTGATAAAGGCACTTGAATTTCAACCCTGTACTCTCTAAGGAAGTATTTCTTCCTATGTAACTAAACCAAGATGACAGGATGCTCATGCTCTGGAGATAGCCAATATTCAACTCTGACATACTGCAGATAAACTGAACATTCTGGCCAAGTACCTGATGGAGCTGTGCACTGTGAATTATGACATGATTCACATCCCTCCATCCATGATTCCAGCAGCTGCCTTCTGTTTGTCTCTGAAACTCTTTGATAGATGCATGTTTGCAAGTTTTGCTTGTCAGGCCACCTCCTACTTTGTGACTCAGTGTGCCTAAAGGCCACTCTTATAAGGTGCACACTTCCTCCATTCCTCATGGTATTTCACCATGTTCTTGTCTCCCTGTGTACTACTAAAAGGGGACAGTAGTAGGGCAGTAGCTTTTAAAACATCCCACTGTGAGACAAGAGACCATAATTGTCCAAGAAAAACTGCAAAGAACCCAGTGTACTTGGATTATTCTAATAGGCTTTTCTAATGGATTTCCTTCCTTTCAGTTACCGCTTCTGCAATGCTACACATCTCTCACTGAGAGTGACATTCTCTCAGTTATACAGCATATGTCAAAGAATGTAATCAATGTGAATAAGTGTGCTGCCAAGCAAAAGGTAAGAATCTTAGGGTGCAGGGGTGTGGGGGGAATATGTGTGATTATGTGTCAATACATGGCACATAGAGGCTGGTTCAGTAGAGTCACTGCAGACAGACTTAAATAAGATCTGCTTGCTTCTGAGCTGAAGATCTTTATCTTGTGTAGGTGGCATGGACCATCCATGAAGAGAGTTTGTGTACGCTTGACCACTGAGAATTAAGTGAGCTGAAACAGTGAACAGGGTAAACATAATCAACGTTATTTCTCTGTAGGCAGTTACAAAGAAATAGGCCACTGATGCCAGAATGATTTTTGCTGTTACACTTCCTTCACATATATTCATAGCTTTGTAGATTATTGTGGTACATAGTTCCCAGCTAGCCCCAATACTTCCCCTCAGCTTTTCCCTACCCTGATAGGCAGAAAGATAAAATAGATTCCAGAGGCTCCAAACCCCAGGGGTTCAAGGCCCCTATCCTATCTTGGTTCTTTCTGGGAGCCAAGATTGAAAGCAGCTCTTTGAGACACATTTTCAAAAGCAAAGTTTAGCTCCTCTCCTTAGATAGCAGGGGGTGGAAGAGGATTCAGAGATGGCTGAACAGGTGGGAATTACTTCATCACTTGTGCATCTAATTGAGAATTCTTGGCAGCTATGTTAATTTGCTGAACTTATATAAAACTGTATTCACCACATATGGGGGGAAGGGCATTTTTCCATATCTTTCCCTGGAGGCCTCCAATAAAGACCAGCTTTTATACTATCTCCCACACTAATATTGGCTCAAAAGTGTGTTGTTTCATTTCTAGGCCTTTAAGATATTACCAGCACTGCCAACACCAAGATAAGCACCATTGAACAGTTGTAGTCCCCCATTATATGGGATCTGGCTAAAAATTTTAAACTTCTATATGAATTTAAGCAGAATGCTGCTCACCGTATATACAAAGTACCTTATTTATATTAAACTTATTAAAGCTGTTATAATTTTTGTTTGGTTGGGTTTTTCCAGTGGGGAGGGCAGCACAGTTACCTTCCTCCTGCAGCTGAGGCATCTCCCTGGAGCCTGTGAGCTGTGCTGAGAGCTTGGCTGAGCTCGGGCCAGCTCAGGTGCCCTGGCTGGCCACACAGCGTGGGGCATGGACAGCAGCACTGCCGTGAGCTCTGCTATTTGGTGGAGGAGTGTCTGCCAGATTAGACTTGGGGGCAGCAGAGAAATCAGCTGTGTGAGGTGGTGATCTGCTCAGCCTGGTGGCAGAGCTCAAAGAGGAAGGAGAAATTGTTGAGGACTCTTGGAGACTGGCTGGGGGAGCCGTAATGTACCCGCCCTTAGACAATTACAGAAGCTGTCCAAGGTAGTCAGACATTGGAACAAGGTGCCCAGAGCTGTACAGAAGTCAGCATCCCTGGGTGTGAAAAATGCATATTTTATGATTGGCTTTTCACAAATATTAAAATGAATATTATATGTGTTGTGTTAGACAGTAATGCTGTATTAATTCTCTTAAGTAGTGTGTTAAATATAGCTTTAGGTTATAAAAATGTTAAAATATAAACTATGCTATGTAGGATACCTTTTTTTAAAAGAAATGACCTGCAGTGAGATAGCAGCCACAGGACACCTAAATCTTTCAGAGAGAACTTATTGCTCTCTTGTCAGAAGAAACAAACTTCTTCTTGCCTTGAAGGCACTATTAGGATTCAGAGGAAGAAGTTGACGATGACCAGACATAATCCTGTGCTTGAATGGAATTTAGGCATCATGTATGAGGTGTATGAATATGCAACAGGCTATTGTTTTTAAGGGTTAATCCTTTGTAGACGTGTGTCGTTTTTCGGGCTTGTGCTGCACTGAAAACGGCACCCCAACGTCCGTAACTCTTTAGCTCTATTGTCTCATATTTCCAATTGTCCTAATTCAAATTGTCTAAATTATTATTACTCTAATTGTATTACTATTTTTATAACCATTTTATTATTATTAAACTTTTAAAATTAAAAAAACACAAGTGATTGGCGTTTTTCGCACTGGCCGTATTCAATAATGTGTGAATATGACACATTTCACATTTCAGGTCATGGGTGTAATGGTAAACAGGATCATCGTGCTAGGTTGACAGCGGCACTTGCTCTTAAAACCAATTAAGTCTTGTTCTATGCAGCAGCTCTCTTCACTTAGTGCTTACTTTTTGCAGTCAATTTTTTACTTCCGTTAGTAGCTTGCACCTATTGCTTCTATCTCCATGTGAGAACTAGGTCAGAGGGAAGAACTATTGCGCTTTACCTAGTGCTCTGACAATGTTATTTTCTTTTTGCGCTTGCACGTACAGGACCAGGCCACTGAGGGCAGCGCCACCCCGCCGCTACTCTACGCAGGCGCGGGGGGCGCGAGGCGGGCGGGCCGTCGGGAGCCGCGCGTTTCGAAAGTTCTGTCATGGCGGCGTCGAGCGGGGAGTGGGACTTGGTCCCGGCCCCGGCTCCGCCTCCGGTTCCGGCTCCGGCTCCGACTCCGGCTCCGGCTCCGACCCGAGAGCTGGAGCTGACTCCGGCCCCGGCGTTTTACCAGGGCAGCGGCGACGGCTCCGGCGACTTGAAGGCCTGCGCTCTGGTCCGGTTAGTGCTGGCGGGACGCGACGGGGAGCAGCCCGGGGGTGGGATGAAGGGATGCGCAGCCTCTGACCGTTGTCGCTTTACTCCCGCCGCAGCATGAGGGACCAAATGAAGGAGAAGCTCATAGAGCAGAACACGGCTATTCTTGCCGGTAAGTATATCCCTCCCCGCAGTGGGATGTTGCACTAACAAAGAACGGGATGTGGCATTTATATTTTAATATATAAATATATATTTACATAGTTTGTTAATCTTTTCTTTAATTATTTATTAAGAGTATTCCTTGCAATAATGATGGGGGGTTTTTTTCCTGGCTGTACATTTTAACACATTTTCTATGCAGCTTTTGAGACATATTTGAGTGATTGCAAAGATGCCATATAGCTGCTGCCCGCTGTCCTCTCCTTCCTTTTCTGGGTTTGAACTTTAGGTTCACCTGACATGTACTGACGGTTTTCAGAAATCTGGTCACTGGGGCTGAAGTCTTGCCAAAAGTTTGTCAAACTGTTTGGCAGCAATACTGATTTAAGGTGTTTCCATTACCTGTAGAGTCACGAGATTATTTGGGTTGGAACGGACATTAAACACATCTGGTTCCTAACCTCCCACCATGCACAGCCACTTCCACTAAATCATCCTGCTCAGAGCCCTATTCAACCTGACAACCTGATCTTGAACACTCCCAGGGATGAGGCATCCACAGCTTCTCTGGGCAATCTCCTCTACCAGTGCCTCATCATCCCACAGTATATCTAATTTAAACCTACCATCTTCCAAATACAAACTACATACCTTAGAAAAAAGCTCTTCTCCAGCTCTCTTGTAAGCTCCTTCATTTGCAAGGACTCAGCAAAATCCCCATCCTCCTTCTCCAAGCTGAACAACCACTCTCTCACCCTTTTCCTCATAGGAGAGGTGCTCCAGCCCTCTGATCATTGCCCTCCTCTGCACCTTCTCTAAGAGATCCATGTCCTTCTTATGTTGGGAATCCCAGGCCTGGATGCAGCACACCAGTCTGCCAAGAGCTGTGTAGAGGGGCAGAATCACCTCTCTTGACCAGCTGGACACGTTTCTGATACAGCCCAGGGTGCAGTTGGGTACATGCTCTTCCGTTGAACTATCCAGTGGCATACATAGAGTGATGGCAAGAACCAGCTCTAGCTTATCTAAAAAATGCTAAATTAATTATTTCTCTGATACAGCTGGTTGATAGCGTAGCCTCATTAACAGGAAAAGATAATAAAGCTTTGAGGTAGAAGTAAGAAATAACTTGTTCACACAAAAATGCTAATCGTTTGTGCTCTATAGATTGTATTTAAAAGTCTCTCTTGTGCTTGTTTTAGCAACATTGTCTTTTGCAGGTCAGGAAAATTTCCCTGATCATGAAATGGAAGAACACTTTATCCAGAGGTATGTCACTGGATAGCTTCAAAATTCTCTTCTAGTTATTCCTTCCTAGTGAATTGCTGGATTTACAATCAGTACTTCAGAAAAGATTGGTGAAAATAATGGAAACTAAGAAAAATTGTGGGGAAGAAATGCTGTATTCATCCTCCCAATGTACTTCTGTATCTGATGTGGGTTTTAAATTTGCAGTCCTTTACATGATGGCTAGAATTCGCTAATATAGTTTCACATGCTAAATTACTCCTGGCCCTAATGATTTGTGGCTCACATGAAAAATTCTAAAATTAGATATGTAGAAAGCAAGTTAAAATGTGACACTGCTTTTAAACTCTGTTATCTTCACACTCAGTTTGTCTCTCTAATTGCTTTTTGTCTTTCAGTGCCACAGAAGATTTGGAAAGAGATCTAGAAGATGCAGCAGTCTCTTTGCACAACAGGACGTTGGCCTTGCAAAGGTAGAATTTTCTTCACCCTTTATTTGGAGCTTTTCTCTGTGTGTGTGCATACATAGATGCATATATACATAGGTACAGGATTTTAAAGTGATATGGGAGACTGGGGAGATTTTCAGTACCATTGAACAATAGGAATGCTGTAGAAAACAAAGCAAAAAAAAGCCCACCAAAACAAAAAACTTACAGGTTGAAATGTGTACACCCAAAAGCTCCTTTACAGTTGGGAAAGAGTGACTGTACAGATCAGTAAGCATATTTCTTGGCAGTATTTTCCAAATGCCTATGAGAAGATGGAATTTAATAATGTTAGGCATGTGTTTCATGGCTGTTTATTTGAATTTACACTTTTGCCCAGCTTCCTTTCTGCAGACTCTGGGATTAATGGTGTCCAAATATGTTGGTCAAGAGAAAAAGGAGTTGTCATTCTCACAAATAATCATTGATGTATCTTTCCTGTCCTGAGAGTTAAGCCCCATTATTTAAGGAGTGTGGTATTTAAAAGGTACTGAGTATTTTGTTTATATAATTCCAATGTGAAAGTGGACGAAAGTGGAATCTTGGAAATTATGTTCTTATATTACTTATTTAAATCTGCTTCTCTCTGTTTCCTGCTTTTCTCAGTTTCCTATGAGTTCTCATCAGTCATATGCTATTTCTTGCAATATGCAGGGCCCAAATTGTGGATGCCCTCAGAAACAAATTGGATCAAGATGATGAGGACTCACGGTAAGGTGTTCTTGGGAGTCAGACAGCTAGAAAGCAATGAACTTTGCACAGTTTATTGTGACACATTTCTAGATTATTTCATTTTACCTCTTGTGAAAGCAAGCTTCCTTTTTCTAGATTTGACAGAATGATATAGTGTCTACCTTCTGGCTAGAATCAGCATGATCAGACTTCATACACCCATGGTAGATTTGCAGTTGGGCTCTGAATTTACCCACCTTTGATTACAGAGATCATAACTCTTGATTCACTAGTGAGAACTGCTTGTAGCCAAGAGAGCTTTTTGTCTTTAGTTCCTAAATTACCTGCATTTATGATAGCCGAACACATTACAGGCTTGTAACAGGGCCTTGCCTCTGCTTTGCTGCCTTTATTAATTAACTATGTAGGAGCAAAATGTCTTTGAAATAGAACTGAAAGCTTAAACATTTTTAAAAGTAGCTTTTTGTTGCCTGCCCATTATTAACAGGTGGATGCATATGAAGTGTAATATGAGAAATTTAATTTCTGTCAGAAATACAGGTAAGGGATTGCATCTCCTTGATTTAGGAGCTTTAATTCATAGCCATTTCCAGATGGCTAGGCTTTCTTGATGCCATCCAAACTCTGTGATGTAAAATGTTGGACAGACTTAAATGAAATCTTAGAGGAATTGAAAGGGAACTAACAGAACTCTTTGGCTTCTACAGTGACACTGAGTATATTAACTGTAAAAAGAAGGGATGTTGTAAGTGTAAGTGCAAAAAGAAGTGACACATATTACTAATTTGCTATTAGGAGAAATCAGAAATTCTTTATTTAAACTAAATAAAGTTGATTTAAACATTTATGATATTGACTTATATTAGTGGTCTTAAGGTATGTAACTGTTTCTTTCCTTAGTCTGATCCTGAAAACAGTGGAAGACATAAACCTGCTCAGCTGGATGATAATTGACTATCAGCAGGTGAGTGGCAGTTGAAGCTTCTGTTACTGTAGTGCAAGTAAATCAACCTCAGCGTGGGAAGGAGTGCACTTGGAAAGTAGCATGACTGCACAAGTCATTCAAAGCTAAATATGTGGTAACATGTGCAGTTCCTACTGCTGTCAAAATTAAGGATTACTCCAAGTGATCATGTAAGTAAATCTGGCTTAGAGTTATTCTTAGCTGTTTTGGGGGATTGAATTAGCATCTTTCAGTATTTTTGAAGACAAGAGTCTGGAAAATACTTTTTGTTTTCTTTCAGCAAGTACATCAAAAGGAAAAGCAGCTGACTGACATTAAAATGGAAAGACTCTGTAAGTGTGTTACCTGTATTGACTTTGGTTTGTATTTTAATGTAGAGTTCATATAGTTCATATTTTAAAGTTACTCTTGTAGTAATATTAATTTACATGGGAAGCAGCAAAACTCAACACAGTTATAAAACTTGTTAAAAGAGTAGAATGAGATGAGCTGTTGTGTTCCCTACTTGTGAGACTGACACATTAGAATGAGAGATGCAAGACAATACTCAAAAACAACCTGGCAGCATTTTATTATTTCAGGTAAGCTCCTCAGAAAGTTACACATTGTTTAGTCATTTAAATCAGCCTTACAGCACCTAAAAGATATTTTTTTGTTCTATGGCACATTTATGAGGTATTTGCAGAATAGAGAGGGAATTTGCTTAGAAAGAAGTATACATATATTGGTTTTCAGTAGTCTTGTTAGAGTGGGTCAAATTTAGACGTGACACCAATATTCAGAGCTTCATATGGTAAATGTGTTCTTTGAATGTTCTTTCTTTCGTGACCGGGTTTGCCACAATTCTAACAGCTATTGTTTGATTCACGTGCAGGGAGTTGTCTATATGTAGACAGTAATGAACAAACACAGTGAAATAACTGTTCACATGGGAAAAATGAACATACTGATATCTCTGCAGATAAAGGAAGGAATGCTCTGCCCGCATTCTTTCAACACATGAATTGCCCCTAAACACTTTTAATCAGTCTAGTTTTTAACCTGGTTTCCTATATAAATAGTAATATTCGCTGGTCATGTTCATATTCTCCTTGTATGACTTTGGAATTTGGTTTCAGTGAAATCTGAAAAAGGAGTAAGGGTCTTTAAAAGGTATAAAAAGGACCTATAAAAGTTGTGGCACTCAAACAAAAACAGGGTATAGGAAAGAGATGCAAATTACTCCCTGTGTGAGGGAAATGCAGGCAGCATACAATGTAGGTTCTGTTTTACAGTTGGCCAGGGAACTGACTGATATAGTTTGATAACCAAGTAGCCACAGCGTGTGTTGCTTCTTTCATAAAAGAAATATATTGAGGAATATATGAGGGAAGGAGTGGAGTGTGAAATAAGGATTATGCACTGGAAGTGCTCTAGGTGTCTGTGAGGAAAAGAGTATCTTCAGTTCTACTATACACATAACTATTTAATGCTTAATTTTCCTAATAATGTAACAGTACAGAAAAAATATGGAGGAGACAAACTACAGCAAAATCATACCATGGAGAAAAGGCAAAAGGAGAAACAAGCATATGTGAATGTATGTGAAGCAGACAAGATGCTTCATAAAATAGAACGAGGAAGAAGGATTACTACAATAATTCAACATGTGTTCCAGGTAATGCTGTGTGGCTTTTAGAACCAAGTTTACAATTTTTGATTACATTCAAGATATTATACTGTATGGCAAATATAACTTAGAAAACAATTTTGTGTTGTTAAAACCTTGAAGTTTAACAATGGAAGACCTGTGTATAGAAGAAAAACTTCTGCTTTAAAGGCTAAGAGAATGAAATGATCATAAGCATCTTTGCATTATTTTTTGCAGAGTTTAGAGACAGTCTTACATCTCAAATTCAGAACGAGAAATTTAACATTGTACTGGCATTTAGATAAGAGTCTAAAACTATCTCTTGGCTTTGTATTCCTGAAATTTTCTCAGCCCTAAGTAGAGCAAATTCTCTTTGGTTAAATTTTAATTCCCCTTTTCAATCCAGAATGGCAGGGTGAGAATGTTAACTGTTATTTTTGTTGAGGCAAACTTTACTTCATATTGTTAAAAACGTTCTCTAGGTTTCTGTATTTAACATAGAGATAGTATGCAAGGCCCTCTAGAAAATAAAAAAGCATGGATTTGGGTTTTTTTTGCCTATGTATCAACAATAGGATCTAAAGCAATACTTCCCTTTCTCCTTTTTCCCTCCATCCTGCCTACTTCAAACACTTGTGAATTTCAAGGGCTTTCAAATTAAGATTATAAAGCAGACTTTCTTTAAGATATTTTACTAGGAATTGTCCTTTACAAGGGCTTGTTTTAACCTGTAAATCTTTCTCATTTATAGAACATCATCATTGCAAGCAGAATTAACTGGGCAGAAGATGAATATTTAAAGGCAATTGTTCTACATCTTGAAAAAAATGTAGTGAGTCAGTGAGTCAGGAGATGTGGTGTTTATTTTATACATTGTGTGCATTTTAACTAAACTTGATAAATTTTATGTATCTTAAATTTTAAAATGTGACCTTTTTGGTCAAATGTTCTCTCCAGAGAAATAGACTGTGTCAAAGGGGCTGGTAGAGCTGATGAAATGAAACTACCTGAAGACTCGTTTCTCAAGCTGTCCTGTCTCAAGCACTTCTTTTCCTCTGAGAGGCAGAAAGAACACAAGAAAAGTTTCAAGGTTTCAAGAAATGGACTTAAACTGAGGATTTGCTGTACCCCTTCCCTGGGGACCAGCAGCCATAGAGCTCAAGCAGGGTGCACAACCCTGCTGAGTCCCAGTCAAATGCTCAGTCAGGAAAATTTATGAGCAAGTCTGGAGTTGGGACTATTTTTGGTTTTGAGGCATTATGTATAATTTTAAATACCAAAAATTTTTGCTCCTGTTAGCACTGACTCTTCTCTGCAGAGGTGACTTCATACAGTCGACTGTGCAGCTAAGCAATGTCTTAATTGCATGTCTTCACTAGAATTTGTGCTTTTTTAACTTGGTGTTCTTTGTTTGATGTTTGAAGGAAATTGACTCTTGGGGCATAGCACAGTTTAGGAACGTGTAGTGTCCTTTATTATCTTGCTGTGTAGCTTCACTTTTAACTTGGTGATTGATCGCCAGCTATTTTTTGTAGGTGGATGCCTTGATCTAATAATAAAGTGCTGATTTTGCCGAAAATGTTTTGCTTGGTTTGCATTTTTTTTTAACTCACGGTAAAGCGGCTGGTTTGGCAGGCCAGGCCTCCGCTGCGGCCCCGCCCCTAGACAGGCCCCGCCCCTAGACAGGCGTTCGTGGCTGTGGGCGGGGCCCCGAGCTGCCCCTCAGGCTCCTCACCATGGGCAGCAAGATGGCGGCCGCTACAAGGGCGGTGCAGGTAAGGGCGGCCCCGGGACGGCGTGTCTGAGACAGCCGGAGCCCTGGCTCGGGCGGCGGAGCTCGCTTCTGCTGCCGCCGCCGAGCAGCAGGTGGAGACGGCCGCAGGATAAGGAGACGCCGCCGGGGCGGCCGGTGTCCTTGGGGAGAGCTGTGCAGCCGCGTGCACACGGTGTCGCAGGTGCCAGACGCTGTTATAGCAGCGGGTGCGGAGCTGACTGGCAGCTCCTTCCTAAGATGGGCCTATGTAAGGTGAAAGTGCTTTGTACAGGCAGAGCACAGCTCGCGATTCCGTTGCTAAAGCACTGTGGAACCACGGCATAGTTTGGATCGGAAGGGACCTTAAAGGTCACCTAGTTGCAGCACCCTCCTGCCGTGGGCAGGGGCACCTTTATTAGACCAGGTTGCTCAAAGCTCCATCCAACCTGGTCTTAGGCACTTCCATGGTTGGGACAGCCACAGATGCTGTGGGCATCTTCTGCCAGTGCTGCAGCACCCTCAAAATAAAGAATTTCTTCCTAATCTTCCTAATGTTTTTAATCCAAACCTGCCCTTTGGGTTGTAAGGTCTCCCCAGTGCATTCTTCAGGCTGAACAACCCCAGCACTCAGCCTGTCTCACAGGAGAGGTGAGGACAACGATCTTAACGGCCCTGCTTTGGACTCACTCCAGTCCATGTTTTTTTTCCTTTGGGGACCCCAGAGCTGGACACAGCACTCTGGATGGGTTCTAACCAGAGCACATTGCATTGTGATTGCATTTATGCAATAGCAGTGGCTGTTTCTGCATACACCCAGACTGATGGGAAAAGGAAGACAAAGCCTGTACCTGCTCTGGACCTCAGGATGCAGGACTACTTTTTAAAGTAGACTTCTTCCTGAGGTAAACTTAGGACTTCAAGAAGCAGTAAGTGTATCAGAGTAGTGGAGCAGAGAGCCGCTGTTTAGAGTGGTTGGTTGATACATTTTATTATTCACGGTAACCTGTGTCTGTTTCTCCCACTGCCTGGTCTCCTTCTAGGTAGTCAAGCCACATACTCCATCAATAAAGTTCCCAGACAGAAAAAGTGGTCCCAGACCTAAAAGTAAGTATTTTTGATATGGATACAGCTTGCGCCACATTTCTTTACATGGACTGTTTTATTTAAAAACCGGGACCAAATTTCTCTCTTTCAGCTATACAGCTGAACTGAGTTGGAGTGAGGTTTTTGAAACGTGCTTGGTTTAGTTTGAAGGCAACTCTTGAACTTTCTCCACAACTTCCTTTCTGTGCAGCTGTGTGTAGACACATAGTGCATGCAGATCTATATTTTTTTTGTCAAGAAAGATTCACAAGGATTTCCAGTGTTTGTGTTCTACTTTATATAAAGTCACATTTTCCCAAATATTAATATTTACTGAAGTTACTGTGCCCAAGTCAGTTTGAAGCAGCTTTAGTTATTCAGTGATATTTGCAAAAATGATGTTGCATTTTCCTAATTTTTTCTTAGTTGAAGTGTGTGATGTATTTTCTGCTGTTTTTTCAAAACATAATTATAGCTGGGAGATCCAACCCTCTGTACATTTTAAGAAGTATTTTCTTGTGTTACTAACCAATGTTAAGGGAAAAAAAATTCATTGCAATCTTTTGTCATTAACTTTTATACCTGTGTTGATATTTATGGTATTTCCAATACTATTATATTTAAACAATAAACTTATATTAGCAATATGTTGATTTAGAAGTCCTTTTGGGTCAAAAAGCATCTGAAAGAAAAGTAGAAGTTGTCTTTAAAAGCTCTGTTACATTATTCTCACTTCTTTTGATATTATACTATGCCTAGTTATTTGTCAGGATTACCAAGCCCACAGTTTAGCCTGAAGTTTAGTTTAACATTTGAAAGCCTCCACAGTGCATAAAAATGCCTCTTCTGACTTGCCTGTGAACTCTTCAGGAACTATTTTCTGCAATAACTTTCTGTTAAACTTCTGCACATTTTGCACAGTTTAGCCAAATGCACCACCTCTTATGCCAGTGAACTACTTTCTCAAAAGCTTGAAAATGTGTTTCTGACCTCTTGTTTATCTCTGTGTCAGAAGACTCTTGTGACTGTATCTTTTAAGTATGTTAGACTTTTCAACCTTCATCAGGATCTGTTATCTTGTTAGTAAACTGTAACCCACTTTGTTTTGCTTGAATGCTGTAGCAAAATCTGCATTTAATTGTACCAGATTGTTGCTTCTACATCACTAAATGGCTCCTCAGAGCAACTAGGGATATGAAAGGCCAGCCAAATTCCAGTGGGCCTATTAATGCTGCAACATTATGGTCTCAAACAGGGAAGGGAGAGATGTAGTAGAGACTGTAATAGAACTAAAGCAGCAACAGTAAAATTTCTGATTACTGCAGTTCTCATGCTTTTAATTCACTAATGAGTCTATTCCAGCTACACTTCAGACTGAAACATACAGTAGAGGAAAATCCTTGACAAATCTCTAGACTTTTGTGGTCAGTGAAACAAACTTGGAGAAACTGCTTTTTTTTTTTTTTTCCTTTTTTTCTTGCCTTTCCCCCCCCTTTTCTTTCTTTTTTTTTTTTTTTTTTTTTTTTGTATGTAAGGTGTATTATTTCTTGAAACAAAAATACTTTGTCCCCCGTTCACAATAAATATGCTACTCTTGATGGGCTCACTTCTGCCTTGCTCTGTTTGGGATCTTCCATTATTACTGAATGACCTTGGGACTTTCAGACCCAGTCTTATGACTGACAGCTTCTTAATATGCCTCTCAATGGTAGTTTCATCACAGTGCTGCAAGTGTTTGATTGTTTGTCCCAATCCTGCAACTGCATCAGATTAATTAAGGCTAAAACTTCATTAAGGCTCCCTCTCCTTTGTGGTCATTGGTCTTGCTGGAGCCAGGAAGGGCAAAGGCAGGCAAAACTGTGCTGTTGTAGCTGCTCACATGCTTTTGCACGTGCTGTTTTCATGCTGCTTATTTTATAGTTATATAGAGCTTCTGTCTAGCTGTTAGATGTTGCACTTGTCTTGCTCAATTTTCTGGAGTATTGGGAAGGACTGCTGTGGAAGCATTCAGCTTTGTCAGGTGTTATACCCTTACATATCACAGGGTGACTAGCAGGTTGGAAGAGAACTTCAAGATCATTGAGTCCAACCCATGCCCTGATACCTCAACTAAACCATGGCACCGAGTGCCACATGCAGTCTTTTCTTAAATACATCCAGAGATGCTGACTGCACCACCTCCCCAGGCAGACCACCTCAGTACTTTATTACTTGTTAGTTAAACAACTTTTTCCTGATATCCAACCTGTACTTCCCTTGGTGCAGCTTAAGACTGTGTCCTCTGATTCTGTCAGATTTTGCCTGGACAAAGAGACCAACCTGCACCTGACTACAACCACCTCTCAGGGAGTTTTAGAGAGTGTTAAGGTGCCCCCTGAGTCTCCTTTTCTCCAGGCTAAACACCCCCAGCTCCCTCAGTTGTTCCTCACAGGTTCTGTGTTCCCAGCCCCTCACCAGCCTCGTTGCCCCCTCTGGACCTGCTCGGGTGTCTCAAGGTCCTTCCCAAACTGAGGGCCCAGAGCTGGACACAGCACTCCAGGTGCTGCCTCAGCAGTGCCGAGTACAGGGAAGGGTGACCTCCCTGCTCCTGCTGGCCACACTGTTCCTGACACAGGCCAGGATGCCACTGGCCTGTAAGGCCACCAGGGCACACTGCTGGCTCGTGTTCAGCCGCTGTCACCAGCACCCCCAGGTCCCTTTCTGCCTGGGCACTGTCCAGCCACACCATCCCCAGCCTGTAACATTACTGGGGGTTACTGTGGCCAAAATGCAGGACTTGACAACTGGACTTGTTAAACTTCATCCTGTTGGACTGTGCCCATCCATTCAGTCATTCCAGGTCTCTCTGCAGAGCCCTCCCACCTTCCAACAGATTGACACATGTTCCCAGCTCAGTGTCATCTGTAAATTCACTACTGAAAGCCTCAATCCCGTCATCCATGTCATCAAGGAAGATATTAAACAGGACTGGCCCCAGCACAGACCCCTGAGGGACACCCCTGGTGAGCAGCCACCAGCTGGTGCAGCACCATTCACCAGCACCCTCTGGGCCCGGCCATCCAGCCCGTTCCCAGCCCAGCACAGAGTGCTCCTGTCCAAGCCGTGGGCTGCCAGCTTTTCCAGGAGTGTGCTGTGGGAGACAGTGCCAAGGCCTTGCTGAAGTCCAGGTACACAACAGCCACAGCCTTTCCCACATCCACCAGGCAGGTCACTTGGTCATAAAAGGAGTTCAGGTTGGTGAAACACGACCTGTCCCCCTAAACCTGTGCTGGCTGGGTCTGACACCCTGGCCATCCTGTGAGTGCTGTGTGCTGGCACTCAGTATAAACTGCTCCGTAACCTTACCTGGTACTGAGGTCAGGCTAGCTGGCCTATAATTGCCAGGATCCTCCTTCCCACCCTTTTTATGAATGGCAGTCACACTGGCCAGCTTCCAGTCCTCTGGAACCTCACCAGTGAGCCAGGACTGCTGGTAAATGATGGAGAGCAGCTTTGCAAGCTCATCTGCCAGCCCCCTCATCACCTGGGATGGATCCTATCCCATATATAGGACTGAGTCCTGAAATGAACATATTGCTATGATCTCTGTCCTGCCTAGTGGGGTAATTGCATATTTCCATTGTAAAATCAGCTATGGTGGGACAGACTTAAGGTTTGGAACACTGACTGTGACATTGCCTTTTTGTCATCTCTTCTATCTGCACAATCAAGGCAACTTTTCTGATGTGAATTCCTGAAGCTTA